GTGAGTGTGCCTGTGAGTGTGTGTGTGTGAGTGTGTCTGTGAGTGTGTGTGTGAGTGTGTCTGTTTAAGTGTGTGTCTGTGTGAGTGTGCGTGTGAGAGTGTGTGTGTGTGTGTGTGTGTGTGTGTGTGTGTGTGTGTGTGACTCGATTGACATTGACTCGAGTCACAGATCTCTCCATGGATAGATGACCTTTGAACTTTAAAGTACCGGAGATCGTTTCACCATTGTGTCCTTGAGCGAGACCCAGCCATTACTGTACTGCACAATATCTGCTTATTAATAATCAATTACTAAATCACTCTAGATTATTGTGCATTGTTTTAAAGTCCCCCTGTGGTAAAAATCCAGCTTTTAATGTTGTTTATGTGTCTATGTGGTGTTTTTAATACGCTTTAACACACACCATGTGTAAGTTCATAAGTCGACAGCATTGCTGAGTATTTTCTGCTTAAAACTGCAGTGAACCAAAGACAGTCTCAAAAACACGGTTTGAAATCGCTGGTGTTTCTGACGTCACAAACGACCTTGTAACCAATCAGATCAACGTGTGATCGTCAACCAGTGGATCTCTGAGCTGAGTGAGTGAGTGGAGGCGGGGCTCAAATGATTGACTACCGGAGGACTTTAAACAGGAGGACTTTTGTGAGTGACAGGAGGATCTGCTGTCTGTCAGCGCCGTCTAGTGTCAAGATTATGATGGTACAGTACAAGATACAGTAGATTAATGTAATAAATATCTGGTAAACCATTTATAAAGGTAACTTTTCAAGCGTTTTATATTATTTGTAAGAGGTTTTGAATAAAAGCATCTGTTAAATTAATACATGTTCAGTCAAGTTTGGAATAAATACGTTTTTATATGGGGTTTTTTGTACTGCTCACCAAGGCTGCATTTATTTGATCAGAAATACAGTCAAAAATTATGAAATATTTGTACTAATTAAAACATCTGTTTTCTATGTGAATATATAGTAGTGTAATTTATTCCTGTGATCAAAGCTGAATTTTCAGCATCATTACTCCAGTCTTCAGTGTCACATGATCCTTCAGAAATCACTCTAATATGAGGATCTGATGCTCAAGAAACATTTAAAAAATAAAAGGTGCTCAAGAATCTTAATTATTCCAAACTTTTGACTGCAAATGTTATAAAAGTATCTTTCTTGACTAGTTTTCTATCTTTGTTAATTCATCCAAAAAATTAAACGAGTGCATCAAAACGTATGTAACATTTTTATTGTCTATAATATTTATAAACTTTAAGATACTGATACTGAAGATAAACACAGGTCAAACGTCTGTCATAAACTAAAAGAAGGCTAAATATCAATATAAAAATATTTAATGATGCACTGCATGCTGTAAAGTTATATATATAAAAAAGTCTGGAATTCTTTTCAAAGAAACTACCGTTAAATTGACATTAAATCAATCGTACCGACACCAGTAAAAACACTCGCTCGTAAAGCTTATGAAGGCACACGTGAGTCACGTGACCCTCCGCTCGTACCTCTGACAGTCAAATCAGCACCAGTCAAATCTAATGCATACAAATACAGCAAAGCTTCAAACAGCATCAATATCATTTTAAAACTACTGCATCAATGGGGTTTCACCCATAAATTGTCATTATAATTCAAAATAAACAGCATGATAGAGTGATTTGTCTTCGCTGAGGGACCTTATGACGGTTAGAGGTTATGCGCGTGACGTCGGCTGGAGTGACTGTGGTTACGCGCACTGAGTGGCAGAAACACTGAATGGCAGCGTTAGTTTTCAGCGTTAGTGACACGGAAAAACACATCTAAAACGGGAAAGAGCTTCGAGATTGACTGTACAACTAGATTTGACAAGAAATCTGAGGTATATTTGTACAGACTGCCGAAAGCTTCAGAACAGAGACGCAAAATGGATCCTGCGGACTCCAGGCAGAGAAAGGTGGATTTACAGTTATTATTTTGTGTCAGTATGCTGAATTTAGGGGTAAAATCATACGCTATATATTGTATCGACAACTTATCGATTAAATATTTACCATCGTATATTCTGCATAATTGGATGTTTTTAAATAAACACTGACAAAAAAACTACACAAGTTTTAAGGCTGGACGATATGATGATATATATTATATTGATATAAGTGAACACCCGGATTTATACCTATAATGTATTTATATAAAGCGTTCACAGACAAATTTGCTTTATGTATTTCCCCAGCGTCGAAATCAGGCTCGTATAAATGTCAGAAAACACGATTCCTGCTGCATGTCAATATCCATGATCACTGGATCTTTGGTGAGTTGTTAGAAACACTATGTCGAGTCCAACCCTGTAGTTTAAACTGATAATCGTTTGTTTTACTCTCGTTTTGCGCAGTTTCTCCTGTTAAATCCAGTCCCTCAGCAGCTCTTCTGCCACTCAGTCCGGCTGTTCCCGCGGGAAAGTGACGTCCATGCATAACCTCTATATATAGGCTAACGCTTTAAATACCCACTGCACTTCAGAGCTACAAATGAAGCGTTTATATAAGTGGTTTTTGGTATTAAATCTGCCAAAACTTACCCACAAATAGTTCTGATGGCAGAAAAGCATAAATAAAAAACGTGTAAATAAAGCAGTTGAAATATCCAGCGTTACAAACGTGACCCGACTGGATATGGAAGTGTTCTTTGGTAGTGTTTTGGGTAGAAATGAGAGTTTTGTCATTTAAAAAAAAAAAAAAAAAAAGAGTTTTCGTGTTTTATCCTCATCGTTTCCCGCTCTTCATGTAGGACGGGATGGCTCCTCTGGCCGTCAGACCCTCGAAGCGCTTGTAGGTGTAGTTGACGAAAACCCAGTCCTTGTTCTTGTAGTCCGCCTCCGGGTGATGATGGTTGCTCACCACCGCCGGACCTCGACACAGCAACAGAACACTTCAGCACTGACAAACTTCTGTTCCATTATCATTTACAAGCTTACGAATAAATCAGTTCATTTGGATATATATAACGCTATTTATTGATATTATAAACTTTTTTCATGACGGATTTATTCAAACATCTGTCAGAACATTTTAAGTAATAATTTAACGAATCTGTAATATAGAAACGCTCTTCTCTAGAGTTATTTTTCTAGCTGACAATCGAGTTTATGGTCATTGAGCGGCTTTTCTGAGGTAAATGTGACTCAAGTTTTTTCACGGTTGAAAACCTGACTGATGGTTCAACATTCCTTCTGATGTTCATTCATGTTTATTTGCTATGGCAGCTTGTTTCCGCAACAGAATAAAAAAAAGACTTTCTCGCAATTGTGACTTTATATCACGCAATTTTGACTTTATATCACGCAATTCTGACTTTATATCACGCAATTCTGACTTTAAAACATGCAATTTTGACTTTATATCACGCAATTCTGACTTTATATCACGCAATTCTGACTTTATATCACGCAATTCTGACTTTATATCACGCAATTCTGACTTTATAACACGCAATTGTGAGATAAAGTCAGAATTGTGAGATATTACACATACAAACTGAGAAAACAGCCAGTCTTTTTTCCCTTAGAATTGGACTTTATAACTAGCAATTGCGACTTTATATCTCACAATTCAACAAAAAAAGATGTCAGAATTGCGAGTTATAAAGTCCAAAGTCAAAATGAGAATATTTGTATCTTACTTGGCGGCTGCAGGATGTCGGACTCCGGAAACTCGTCGAAGTTCGACGTGTCGTCGATGCTCTTGATCTCGATCGGGATCGCCGCGGGTCTCTCCCTGCGAACGAGTCGCGAAACCCTCGTTAGATCGAAACCTCACCGTGATTCACGTTTATTTGTATAGCGCTTTTCACAATCCAAACATCATTACAAAGCAGCTTTACAGAAAGTGCACGAGTCCGAATTACAATTTACAGTGATCGGTTATCAGAGAAGACTGTCTAAGTTATGTATTTCAGAAATGTACATATACAAAATCACAGTTGGCTAAAAATATACTAATTTAAGCAATGTAATAATTTAATGCAGAAACAGTAACCTCATTGAAGTAGCCTAATGAACACTTGTTTGTTAACAAATGATTATGACATTTAGAAAACTGTAGCATTGGTTCATGTTGATTCAGAGTGATTAAAACATCCCGCGCTACGAAACCAGACCTGATGTGATCGTAGTCGACGCCCTCGAAGAAGCCGTTCCTCTTGATGTCGTCGACGCCGGCCGCGCCGATGCGGTGGTCGGCCTCGCAGCAGAAGCGCAGGATCAGCTCTTTCGCTCGCTCTGAGATCGGCACCTCCGGGGGAAACACCAGCGTCTCCTTCCAGCTCATCACCTTCTTATACGTCTCCTGAGGAGTCTCTGAGCAGAACGGCGGGTAGCCTGCAACAACAGCCAGTTTAGATGTTTTACATTAAAGGGGTCGTCGGATGCCCATTTTCCACAATTTGGGATGATTCTTTAGGGTCTTCATGTAAAGTTTGTAACATACTTTGGTTAAAATTCCTCAATGGTTGTGTAAAACACCCTTTTTACCTCCTCAAAAACAGCTCTGTTCACAGCGACCCGTTTCGGTGCATGTCTCTTAAATTGATAATGAGCGAACACTGGTCGTAGTGTGCGTGACGTCACCGGTCGTGTTTCTGAAGAGCGTTTTTGAAGCCCAAAGTGGCCCAGCCGTCGCCATCTTGGCAGCGTCACTTCCGGATAAACGAACATGTGCGGCGAGGCGGATTAGCTGAGGTGAGGTGACGCTAACGCTAGCAGACAAACGGCTAGCAGTGACATCAGCGGCAATCCACCTGTCACTCAAGTGGCCACGCCCTTAATTATGCACAACTTTAAGGGTTAATATAATTTAAACGGAGGAGTTTCTGCTGTAAAGTTGGGCATTTTAACATGCGGGTCTATGGGATTGACTCTCTTTTGCAGCCGGTCTCTAGTGGCCAGTGGAGGAACTGCAGTTTAAGTCACTTCAGTGTTGGATTCAAGAGAGAGACCGGAAGGTTGGCGCTTGATCGCGCTCTATAACGACACGCCCTCATTTGTATATCATTCGCTTCTTACCTATCAGCATCTCGTACATGATGACGCCCAGGCTCCACCAATCGCAGAGCTTGTTGTATCCGGTCTGCATGAAGACCTCGGGAGCGATGTAGTCCGGCGTTCCCACAGTGGAGAAGGCCTGAAAGAGGCGGAGCAACATAACGCATCACTTCCTGTGTGCCGTGAACGAACTAATGAATCCGGCGTTATCACTGACCAGCTGCCTCCTGTTTCTCTTCCACGTCTCCGCCTTCCTCTTGGAGTTCATGTGCTGAAACGCTACGAGAAAAACGTGTGAATTATTACTATTTTGAATCTATATTCATAGGTTAAAGAGAATAGTGATGTCCACACCATGACAATAACGATCACTACAGAGGAACGATATCGTTGGAATCACTTTTAGAATGATTTTTTCCAGCTGATGAACGATAAAAACATTGACAGCCAATCAGAATCCATCACAAGAGGATATATTAAGCCATAATATATTAAGCATTTCTGTCATCATTATAGTTACTGTCCGCTGGTGTGAATGCTAATATAGTTATCGTCCGCTGGTGTGAATGCTAATATAGTTATCGTCCGCTGGTGTGAATGCTAATATAGTTATCGTCCGCTGGTGTGAATGCTAATATAGTTATCGTCCGCTGGTGTGAATGCTAATATAGTTACCATTATAGTTATCGTCCGCTGGTGTGAGCACTAATATAGTTACCGTTATAGTTATCGTCCGCTGGTGTGGATGCTAATATAGTTACCGTTATAGTTATTGTCCGCTGGTGTGGATGCTAATATAGTTATCGTTATAGTTATCGTCCGCTGGTGTGGATGCTAATATAGTTTTCGTTATAATTATCGTCCGCTGGTGTGAGCACTAATATAGTTACCGTTATAGTTATCGTCCGCTGGTGTGGATGCTAATATAGTTACCGTTATAGTTATCGTCCGCTGGTGTGGATGCTAATATAGTTATCGTTATAATTATCGTCCGCTGGTGTGGATGCTAATATAGTTACCGTTATAATTATCGTCCGCTGGTGTGGATGCTAATATAGTACCGTTATAATTATCGTCCGCTGGTGTGGATGCTAATATAGTTACCGTTATAGTTATCGTCCGCTGGTGTGGATGCTAATATAGTTATCGTTATAATTATCGTCCGCTGGTGTGGATGCTAATATAGTTATCGTTATAATTATCGTCCGCTGGTGTGGATGCTAATATAGTACCGTTATAGTTATCGTCCGCTGGTGTGGATGCTAATATAGTTACCGTTATAGTTATCGTCCGCTGGTGTGGATGCTAATATAGTTACCGTTATAGTTATCATCCAATGGTGTGGATGCTAATATAGTTATCGTTATAGTTTAGTCCGCTGGTGTGGATGCTAATATAGTTACCGTTATAGTTATCGTCCGCTGGTGTGGATGCTAATATAGTTATCGTTATAGTTTAGTCCGCTGGTGTGGATGCTAATATAGTTATCGTTATAGTTATCGTCCGCTGGTGTGGATGCTAATATAGTTATCGTTATAGTTTAGTCCGCTGGTGTGGATGCTAATATAGTTATCGTTATAGTTTAGTCCGCTGGTGTGGATGCTAATATAGTTATCGTTATAGTTATCGTCCGCTGGTGTGGATGCTAATATAGTTATCGTTATAGTTTAGTCCGCTGGTGTGGATGCTAATATAGTTATCGTTATAGTTTAGTCCGCTGGTGTAGATGCTAATATAGTTATCGTTATAGTTATCATCCGCTGGTGTGGACACTAATTATTCATAGAGCACATTCGAATATTCAAATATGAACATGAATATTAATTATGTTCGACATATTTGTGATCGAATCGCTCATCACTCACTGAGGTCGTTTGATTTGCTGTGGTTCAGGTTGCGGTAAAACTCAGTCCGATGCGCTTTTTTGAGGCCCGTACACAAGCCAAAATCGGACAGTTTGACGTGACCCTGAAACACACACACACACACATCTGGTGAAACAGCCAATCAGAGGCCTCGCTGACAGAGAATCCAGCAAAAGCAGAAGCCACACAGGAAGAGGTTTATTGAGTCACTTCCTGTTCCTGAGACCTTGGAGTCCAGTAACAGGTTGTCGGGTTTGATGTCTCGGTGTATGAAGCCCAGCTGATGGATGAAGTCGATGGCCAGAACCGTCTCGGCCACGTAGAACTGCGTCTCCTCCTCCGTCAGGGTGTCTTTCTTCATGAGCAGCGTCATCATGTCACCTGGAAAACAGGAGTTTGATTCACCTTTGGTATTCTACGTACTTAAAGGAGTAGTTCACTTCAGAATTAAAATTTCCTGATAATTTACTCTCCCGCACGTCATCCAAGATGTTCATGTCTTTCTTTCTTCAGTCGGAAAGAAATGAAGGTTTTTGAGGAACACACTCCAGGGTTTCTCCATATAGTGACTTCAATGGGGTCCAACGGGTCGAAGGTCCAGATGTGAGTTTCAGTGCAGCTTCAAAGTCTCGACACGATCCAGCCGAGGAATAAGAGTCTGATCTAGACAAACCAGCCGACATTTATAACAAAATACACATTTATATACTTTTAACCACTAATGCTGGTCTTGCACGAGCTGTGATGCGACACACATTACGTCATCAGGGTGAAAGGTCAAGCGTGACGTAGGTGGAAGTACCGCCCCAGTGTTTACAGAGCGAACGTGCAAAGACTAAGTCAAACGCCATTTACGAAAAAAAAAAAAAAGGTAAAACAATGATGTCGGAAGATTTTGAAGTTTGAGGAGAAAATGTGATGGAGTTTTTCGCCCTACTCTACATTTCTGAACCGGAACACGCTTGACCTTTCAACATGATGACGTAATGTGTGTCGCATCACAGCTCGTGCAAGACCAGCATTAGTGGTTATAAAGTATATAAATGTGTATTTTGTTATAAATGTCCGCTGGTTTGTCTAGATCAGACTCTTATTCCTCGGCTGGATCGTGTCGAGACTTTGAAGCTGCACTGAAACTCACATCTGGACCTTCGACCCGTTGGACCCCATTGAAGTCACTATATGGAGAAACCCTGGAGTGTGTTCCTCAAACACTTTCATTTCTTTTCCACTGAAGAAAGAAAGACATGAGCATCTTGGATGACGTGTAGAAGAGTAAATTATCCGGGAATTTTAATTCTGAAGTGAACTACTCCTTTAAGCATCAAAAGCACAATTTGACAGATGATTCTCACAAACGAATCTGTACTGATTCTCTGAAAAGAATCAACTCGAATAGTTCTTTTGAGTCAGTTCAATGAATCATTCAAAAGGTCCTGAAGAAAAGTCTAAACAAAAATTTGCAGCTGATTTTGAAAATGAAGTGGAGTAAACATGAAGACACATGTGAAAGTACAAAATTAAGAAGTTCATTACACACACCTCCCGGCAGGAACTCCATGAGTAAGTAAAGATTCAGTTTATCCTGAAAACTGTAGAACATTTTCACCACCCACAGACTGTCTGCCTGGACCAAGATGTCCCGCTCCGCCCGGATATGACCCACCTGGGACAGAAAATTAAATTAAATTAAATAAAATTAAATTATTAAATTAAACTAAAAAAAATAATATAAAAATAATAACATGAAAAAAATGATTTTTAAAAATTTAATTAAATTTTAAAAAATTAAATAACAAGTGACAAAAAAACATAAAATAACCAAATAAAGTAAAAAAGAAATTAAATTAAAAAATTTAAATAATAACAAATGACAAAAAAACATAAAATAACCAAATAAAGTAATCAAAAATAAAAATAGACAAAATAAAATTCTATAATCAAAATAATCTGTTTTTAATAAAAAATTCATTAGGCGTCACCTGCTCTTTCTGCAGCATGTCGGCTTTGCGAAGGATCTTCATTGCGTAAACGTGACCTGTGTCTTTCTTCTGAACTAGACGCACCTGTGGACATCAGAAACACATTTGTAAAGTGTATAACACACACAAACACAGACTTTCGTAAGTTTATCGTTTGCAGTCATTATCATAATCACCTCTCCGAACGCTCCTCGTCCAATCACCTTCAGAGACTCGAAGTCGTCCAGACCCAGTCTGGTTCTCTTCAGACGGAGGAACTCGGTCTCTTTACGAGCGTGTTGGGAACGCCGCACACGCTTCTGGAACGCAACAAGCATTTGCGAATATTTATATAATCAAATGTGTGTAAAGGCCCATTCACACCCAGAACGATATTACTCACACACCCAGATTAGATATTGGTGTGTGAACACTAATATAGTTATCGTCCGCTGGTGTGAACACTAATATAGTTATCGTCCACTGGTGTGAACACTAATATAGTTATCGTTATAGTTATCGTCCGCTGGTGTGTGAACACTAATATAGTTATCGTTATAGTTATCGTCCGCTGGTGTGAACACTAATATAGTTATCGCTATAGTTATCGTCCGCTGGTGTGAACACTAATATAGTTATCGTCCGCTGGTGTGAACACTAATATAGTTATCGCTATAGTTATCGTCCGCTGGTGTGAACACTAATATAGTTATCGTCCGCTGGTGTGTGAACACTAACATAGTTATCGCTATAGTTATCGTCCGCTGGTGTGAACACTAATATAGTTATCGTCCGCTGGTGTGTGAACACTAATATAGTTATCGTCAGCTGGTGTGAACACTAATATAGTTATCGTCAGCTGGTGTGAACACTAATATAGTTATCGTTATAGTTATCGTCCGCTGGTGTGAACACTAATATAGTTATCGCTATAGTTATCGTCCGCTGGTGTGAACACTAATATAGTTATCGTCCGCTGGTGTGAACACTAATATAGTTATCGTCCGCTGGTGTGAACACTAATATAGTTATCGTTATAGTTATCGTCCGCTGGTGTGTGAACACTAATATAGTTATCGTTATAGTTATCGTCCGCTGGTGTGAACACTAATTTAGTTATCGTCCGCTGGTGTGAACACTAATATAGTTATCGCTATAGTTATCGTCCGCTGGTGTGAACACTAATATAGTTATCGTCCGCTGGTGTGAACACTAATATAGTTATCGCTATAGTTATCGTCCGCTGGTGTGAACACTAATATAGTTATCGTCCGCTGGTGTGTGAACACTAATATAGTTATCGTTATAGTTATCGTCCGCTGGTGTGAACACTAATATAGTTATCTCTATAGTTATCGTCCGCTGGTGTGAACACTAATATAGTTATCGTCCGCTGGTGTGAACACTAATATAGTTATCGCTATAGTTATCGTCCGCTGGTGTGAACACTAATATAGTTATCGCTATAGTTATCGTCCGCTGGTGTGTGAACACTAATATAGTTATCGCTATAGTTATCGTCCGCTGGTGTGAACACTAATATAGTTATCGTCCGCTGGTGTGTGAACACTAACATAGTTATCGCTATAGTTATCGTCCGCTGGTGTGAACACTAATATAGTTATCGTCCGCTGGTGTGTGAACACTAATATAGTTATCGTCAGCTGGTGTGAACACTAATATAGTTATCGTCAGCTGGTGTGAACACTAATATAGTTATCGTTATAGTTATCGTCCGCTGGTGTGAACACTAATATAGTTATCGCTATAGTTATCGTCCGCTGGTGTGAACACTAATATAGTTATCGTCCGCTGGTGTGAACACTAATATAGTTATCGTCCGCTGGTGTGAACACTAATATAGTTATCGTTATAGTTATCGTCCGCTGGTGTGTGAACACTAATATAGTTATCGTTATAGTTATCGTCCGCTGGTGTGAACACTAATTTAGTTATCGTCCGCTGGTGTGAACACTAATATAGTTATCGCTATAGTTATCGTCCGCTGGTGTGAACACTAATATAGTTATCGTCCGCTGGTGTGAACACTAATATAGTTATCGCTATAGTTATCGTCCGCTGGTGTGAACACTAATATAGTTATCGTCCGCTGGTGTGTGAACACTAATATAGTTATCGTTATAGTTATCGTCCGCTGGTGTGAACACTAATATAGTTATCTCTATAGTTATCGTCCGCTGGTGTGAACACTAATATAGTTATCGTCCGCTGGTGTGAACACTAATATAGTTATCGCTATAGTTATCGTCCGCTGGTGTGAACACTAATATAGTTATCGCTATAGTTATCGTCCGCTGGTGTGAACACTAATATAGTTATCGTCCGCTGGTGTGAACACTAATATAGTTATCGTTATAGTTATCGTCCGCTGGTGTGAACACTAATATAGTTATCGCTATAGTTATCGTCCGCTGGTGTGAACACTAATATAGTTATCGTCCGCTGGTGTGAACACTAATATAGTTATCGTTATAGTTATCGTCCGCTGGTGTGAACACTAATATAGTTATCGTCCGCTGGTGTGAACACTAATATAGTTATCGTTATAGTTATCGTCCGCTGGTGTGAACACTAATATAGTTATCGTTATAGTTATCGTCCGCTGGTGTGAACACTAATATAGTTATCGTCCGCTGGTGTGAACACTAATATAGTTATCGCTATAGTTATCGTCCGCTGGTGTGAACACTAATATAGTTATCGTTATAGTTATCGTCCGCTGGTGTGAACACTAATATAGTTATCGTTATAGTTATCGTTAGTGTTCTTGGTGTGAACGTGTTAGTGTGCGTGTTTGTTACCTCTTCATCAGGCAGCCCTTCCTCATCCATCACCTTCTCCAGTTTCTGCTGCCTGTCAACAGAACGTTCTAGATTACGAGACGCAGGAACCAAATTAGCACACTTCTCATAATATTTCTGCGGTATGCTATACTGTAATTCTCAAAATGTGTCGTGCGCAACAGAGCACACTGTGTCAGATCACACTCGACATCACCTTTATGTTTTTCATCTAATATTTATTTTGCCTTTATTTCAATTAAGAAAAAATGATTGTAATGGTTTTGGTTAACGATAATAAGTCTGGCTCGGATATGCGTGTTGTGTCGACTTTAGCACAGAACTGTTAATGTTATAAAGCACTGTAAATAAGCAACACAGGAAGTGTTTCAGCACAGAGGACTGATGTAGCGTCACGCTCGACTGGCGGAGCAGAACGCCACTCACGAACGCTTCAGATGCTAACAGAGCGCCGATGAACAACGCTGATCCAGAACCAGCACTTCTCAGCTGCTATACGCCTCACTGGAGACTCAGATGCTTCATTACACAGTCAAAACAAAAGTTATTCAGACACCAGAAATAATTTTTGATATTTTTCCACTAGTGTGTGCAGGACACTAAAGTTCATTTATGTAAGTGATGTGAGCAAAATAAAGTAAACTGTGAGCTATTACACCCAAATATTCTTCATACAGAGACTACCAGTGACATTTATACACATTTGGGAGCAGAAATGATTCCTCCACTTTGAGCTGATCATGTTCTGCTGAAGTGTGTTTTCTGTAACTGCTAATGCTCTTTTTACACACACACTGAACAACATGAAGCATTGCTTGGTCACTGGTTGAGCTAAACTGGTATTCTCTAATTGTGTAGTTAAATTTAACAGCTGACAGATATTCAACATAATTCATGTGTGAGAGTCTAACAGAAGGACGGACAAAACCAGTCAAATATCTTTTAAATATTGTTCTAAACTATAGCGAATAAACTGTGATAGTGTGAGAAATGGTGAAGGAGTCTGAATACATTGGGTTTGACTGTAGGTTCTTCAGATCAGAGTTTTGGAGGCTCGGCTCTATAACACCATCATTTTAAGTGTGATTTGAGTGTCCAAATACGCCGTTGAGAATCAGAAGTTCCTTGTGAAGCTCTTTATCATGAAGTGTCTGTGTGTTTATACCTCATTTCGCGCTCCTCGTGTTGGGATATGAGGTTGCTGTAGAAGTTCTCCAGAGTGACCTTGGCCATGGTCACCCGCTCCTTGGTGTGGTTGCTCATTAACGAGCTGGAGGCGTGGCCTCGGGTCGCCATGGTTACGACTGCTGTTCTGGAACCGGCTGGGATGTAGATCTGCAGGCGTTTACAAACACAACATGATTTACATGAGCTGGAACAAACACAACAAACTCCAGCGCTGCAGACACATCACACTGAGTATACATGCAAGAATACAACAAACCAGGTATTATTACCGTGGTACGACAACACCTATAGGCCACTATTACAACATCAGCTGTTAAGAATAATTCCTTATGGTGTAGTTATAACTTATACTGAATCATTTCTTCAGTTCAGCCTGTCTGTGGCTCTGTGTAAGTGAGACAGACAGTGGAAAAGAACAAATGTGACCATAAAAACATGTGGCAGAAGTTGTTCAGACAGTCTGTGGTCTAAAGCACAAACATAGAGACGCTTAAGAGGAAATTCCGACTCAGTTTCAGGAACAATAGTGCCATTATTATTATTTAACCAATTATTATTTAACCGGCATGAAGCAAAAAAAATATTAATGTCCTTTTACTTTGAAAGTAATAGCACTGTAAATGAAGTGCAATTACAAAATGTACTGATTTTTCATGAAAAATTCTAATGTAAAAATATAAGAAAATAAATACAACAACATTTCAGACAGTTAAATTTACGTTTTAAAACAAAATGGCTGTGGACATACCAAACTGCTTCAACCACATAAGAAAGTGCGCATAAATAAAGTGAAATGTGGAAACATGCATGTGTTTTATAATGCCATACTTGCAGAACATATTCAGAACATGTAATTATGGAGTGCGGGATGAAGGGGCGGGGCCAAACTCGTGACGTCAGCGGCGAGCGTTCCACCGAACACGCTAAACGTTTAAAACGAAATAAAACTCTGAAAAGCTGCACCAACCTTATATAAAGTTGCTCAGAGTTTTTCTTTGGCTGTTGAAGGACGATATTTCCCTCGACACGTTGTCTCTTGGCAAACAGACATGGAGCGACTCCCCACAAAAAAGAAAGAAAGGGGGGAAAAAACGGGAGAAATGTACGAGTTTTATAGACACGCGGAACTAAAAACGGAACGCAGAAATGCGTATGTGTTAAACTGGACGGAACTTCATCCAGTGACAATAAACATGCAACTCTTCTGTGTTTGCCAGACTGATGTGATGACGAGTTCACCAGAAAGAGATGAGAAGAAATGAAATGACGCTCCACCCCTAAAGAAAGAGAGAGAGCTCGAGCTCTCTCTCTCTCTCACACACTCACACACACACACACACACACTCTCTCTCTCTCTCTCTCTCTCTCTCTCACACACACTCACACACACACACACACACACACACTCTCTCTCTCTCTCTCTCTCTCTCTCTCACACTCACACACACACACACTCTCTCTCTCTCTCTCTCTCTCTCTCTCTCTCTCTCTCTCTCTCTCACACACACACACACATACACAGAATTCTAAAATGTTGATTGATACTTACTTTTTTTAAAATGTATGTGAACGTGATGATTCACTGAAAAAAATAGAAATACTTTGGCAGTACATTGAAACAATTGTCATGCCAATAAATAACATTTTGAATTGAATTGAGAGAGAGAGATTAGATGATTTTCGCACTCTAAAAATACTTTATACATTTAATCTATTTTTTTCAAATATCTGATTTGTATGAAAATGTAACTTTAAAAACGTAGTAAATATAAAGAATTATTATTATTACATTTATTTATTTACGTATTTGTTTGTTTTTGTCATTAAAATGTAGTACAATAATCAAAAACTATAATTATATTCTATAATATATTGCAAATCAATACATTTTGAAACAAATCAAAACCATAAATAGAGATTACCGGTGTAAGTTTCCATGAAAAACTCAGCAATTGTTGTTTGTAAAAAATGCGCTTAAATCTGGCAACTTCCAAAAGTAGTTAAATTATTATAGTTTGCCCGTTATTCATAAAGTTAAATGGAATGAAAAACTGCCAAATTGTGAAACATTTTAAATTGATATTAACATTTATAAAAAATATCCAAATATAAAAACTGTTTAATAGGTACACGTTTTTTTCTGTAAAATTCCCTTTTATTTTCTCTTTATTTCTTCGTTTTTTTCTGTTATATGTACTCCTGTATGTAAATTATGTTTTGTTCTTATTAAAATGCAATAAAAACAAAAACCTTTAAAAAGTAGTTTAATTTAATTGCGCGATTCTTCTTCAGCGCTCATCCTGCGCGCTAGCAGCGCCTCTACGACTTTCTAGAATCACCTCTGCGCCTGCGCGGTTCCTCGCATCGACGACACTCTTGACGCATCTTGTGGACCTGCACCGGAAGTGACCGGTGTTGGTCTAGCAGTTCGCGCTAACCGGACCGGGACCGGCAGAACCGACACCAGACTCGAAACATCAGGATCCCATCGGGCCGAACGGATAGATAGTGCATGTCTCCGAATCTAGGGTTTATCTGAAGTTACTGGGTGAGTTCTGCGATCGGAGGGGTAAAAGATCGGATAGACATCGAATTGGACCGGGACTCGAACCCATAACCGTATACACCGGACCCGAGATCCCCGGTGACACTGAGATATATCAGCGATTTGACCCGTTAATCCCGGTATCACTGGAGCAGACAGATTAAACCTCCACTGTAACATGATCTTAATTAACACATTCGTCATTATTATTCCGGTTTTAGTAGCATGACAACTCTTTAAAAAGTACCAGATCGTAATAGTACTGCATTTAAAAAAAACATATTCCAAATTATTTAGTAGAACTTCAGAAGAATACCATGGTACTGCAGAATGATCATATGTATGTACCATGGTATTTCACTGGTTTATGTTGTAGTCAACCTACATGAGTGAAATCTGTCTGTGTGCAGTTAGTTCTTGGTAGTGTGTGTATATGGATTTGTCTGTAATTTTACTCCGATTTACAAATGCATAAGTACCCTGGTAAACTCTTAAATAGCATAGGCCTTTCTTAAGAGTTTTGTTGTCACATTTTCTGAATAGTAAATTTCCCACTGTAAATCATTGTAAGTATGAAAGCTTGTTTCTGCAACAGAATTAAAAAAAGGTCGAAATTCCGGGTTTTTTTCTCCTCAGAATTGAGAGTTTATATCTCAGATTTTATATCTTACAATTCTGAGGGAAAATTTCACATCACTATATCTTGGAAATCTGACATTTTTTAAATCAGAATTGTTACTTTTTGCATTTTTTTTCCGTGGCGGACACTAGTTTCCATACGCCAGTGTTTACAATATTATCCTGAACATTTGGTCTGTTGCGTTGCAGTGAGGGTCAGGAAGCGCATCGCGGTTGGCCGGCGTGACGTGCGCTCCAGAGGCTTTTGTTTGGGGGCGTGGCCTGTTGGCGTCTACCAACTCACGATTGGTGAACAGGTGAAATGATTTCCATTTTTTATTAAATTCTGTGGTGGTGTTTTCAGTAGGGCTGCACGATTAATCGCAATGAAACCACACGCCATTTGGCAATGATTTATGCGCAGCTTGTCAGTGCAGCGGCTGATTTGTAGTAAATGCTCCATCTGAACACCAGAGGGCGTCTCACACATACACACACACACACACACACACACACACACACACACACATCCATCTGAACACCAGAGGGCGTCACACACACACACACACTCACGCACATCCATCTGAACACCAGAGGGCGTCACACACACACACACACCCCGCAGGAGGACAATAGGCTTTATGCTGAGCGTCACGTGACCAAACCGGAAAACGGGTCTCATTGCATCCGCTTGTCAGAGAAAGTGTTAACGGCCGTAAGAACTAACTACGATATCTATGGATTTTTAAGGTAATCAGCTAACCTACTGAGTTCACTTTGTTATTGGTGTTTTATGCTATTTAAATATCTAAACGTTAGTGTGAAGAAGAAAAATTAAAAAACTTTTAAATATCAATCTGCACATGCGAGGGACATTGGTTATGCTCATTTTTGCTTGCTCCTTTTAAGTTATCTTCAGTAAAACCGCAAAAAATGTCATGAAGCACACACAAAAGACCTGAATCGGAAGCGATGTGATCTGTTTTCCGCCTTGGTCACGTGACGCTCGGCATAAAGCCTATAACACACATCATTCCAGGAATTCGCCTTTGGCTAAGCCACACCCTAGAATGTAGATTGACCAATCACAGCGCAGCCAAGAACGAGCTCCCACAGTGGTCCGACACTTTTTCACTGCGCTCCATTGACTTTAACACAGGCGTCTCATAATTGTGGTCTCGGCCGGCTATTACCGTCGTAGTTTTATCAAAAATATGGATAAACGTTGTGCCTGGGGCATCTGTAACACAGATACGCGTTTCCCAGAGAGGTTGGAGGGGGGTGTGCGTTTTTTCCCTTCCCAAAACCGAAGTCAAATCCTGACAAGTGTCGTCTAGCTAGCAGACTCGTGAATATAGCCTTCGAACGTGTATTGCAGCCCTTTTGCCTACTTCTATCGGACACTTTATTTGCTGCTTTATAAAAGTTTGATCAAATTTCAGCAGGAAGAGCTGTCACAGCATAAGCCATGTTGATACCAGAGCCCAGATGAAGTTTGTTTGTCGGACATAGCAACAGTAACTAAGGGGGGCGGGGCTTAGCCAAAGGCGAATTCGCTGTATCTGAATAAACAGAAGATTGAAACGCTTTGATTGATTAAACACGACTAATAAACACACGACTGCCGTATTCTGTGTGAGAAGCGCATCCTCTCACAGAAGGACGAGCTCAGCTGTCCTGATGAGGTGAGTTTGGAGTAAAAGTGTGTTATAAATGTTGTCTTTTGTTGGACAAGAGGTTCATAAACGCGTCTCATGTTTGGAAAGGTGTTTGACTCGTGTTGCTTTTTCAAATGCACGTTATAAGCGACTCAAACTCGCAGATCTTTCAGAGTGAGCGGCGTTTACAGAGCCGTGCTTCACTGACAAGCTGCACATAACTAATAATCCCAGACTTTGCGATTTCATGTAAACTGCTAGCAGCCATAGTTTTCATTATTAAATTAACTTATCTGTTTGAAGGTGCCTAGCCATCCTGCTGTGGCTCTGCGGGCGCGCAGTGGGCGGAGTCAGGCTCAGACTCGGGCTGTGATTGGCTGAGAGTGATGAGTGGGCGGGGCGGGGCCAGTAGCCGCGAGCGGGGACGTGGCATGGATTCGTCGTGCTGGTTCGCTCCTAGCGCCCTGCGGCGACTGGTCGAGCTGCCGGCGCCGGTTCTGTCACGCCACCAGCTGAAGCGTTTAGAGGAGCATCGCTACAGCAGTTCGGGACGCTCGCTACTCGAACCCATAATGCAACGCTACTGGGAGTGGCTCGTCGGCAGAATGCCACCCTGGATCGCGCCCAACCTCATTACCATCGTCGGCCTGGCGACCAACATCTTCACAACACTGGTGCTGGTGTATTACTGCCCGACTGCAACCGAACAGGTACCCACGCACACTTTTATGATGGATAGATGCACTTTTATGATGGACAAATGCACTTTTATGATGGATAGATGCACTTTTATGATGGACAAATGCACTTTTATGATGGATAGATGCACTTTTATGATGGACAGATGCACTTTTATGATGGATAGATGCACTTTTATGATGGATAGATGCACTTTTATGATGGACAGATGCACTTTTATGATGGATAGATGCACTTTTATGATGGATAGATGCACTTTTATGATGGACAGATGCACTTTTATGATGGATAGATGCACTTTTATGATGGACAGATGCACTTTTATGATGGATAGATGCACTTTTATGATGGACAGATGCACTTTTATGATGATAGATGCACTTTTATGATGGACAGATGCACTTTTATGATGGATAGATGCACTTTTATGATGGATAGATGCACTTTTATGATGGACAGATGAACTTTTATGATGGATAGATGCACTTTTATGATGGACAGATGAACTTTTATGATGGATAGATGCACTTTTATGATGGACAGATGCACTTTTATGATGGATAGATGCACTTTTATGATGGACAGATGCACTTTTATGATGGATAGATGCACTTTTATGATGGACAGATGCACTTTTATGATGGATAGATGCACTTTTATGATGGACAGATGCACTTTTATGATAGACAAATGCACTTTTATGATGGACAGATGCACTTTTATGATGGATAGATGCACTTTTATAAAGGATAGATGCACTTTTATGACGGATAGATGCACTTTTATGACGGATAGGTGCACTTTTATGACGGATAGATGCACTTTTATGATGGATAGATGCACTTTTATGACGGATAGGTGCACTTTTATGACGGATAGGTGCACTTTTATGATGGACAGATGCACTTTTATGACGGATAGATGCACTTTTATGATGGATAGATGCACTTTTATGATGGATAGATGCACTTTTATGATGGATAGATGCACTTTTATGATGGATAGATGCACTTTTATGACGGATAGGTGCACTTTTATGACGGATAGGTGCACTTTTATGACGGATAGATGCACTTTTATGATGGATAGATGCACTTTTATGATGGACAGATGCACTTTTATGATGGACAGATGCACTTTTATGATGGACAAATGCACTTTTATGATGGACAGATGCACTTTTATGATGGATAGATGCACTTTTATAATGGATAGATGCACTTTTATGATGGACAGATGCACTTTTATGATGGATAGATGCACTTTTATGACGGATAGATGCACTTTTATGACGGATAGATGCACTTTTATGATGGATAGATGCACTTTTATGACGGATAGATGCACTTTTATGACGGATAGATGCACTTTTATGATGGATAGATGCACTTTTATGATGGACAGATGCACTTTTATGATGGATAGGTGCACTTTTATGATGGATAGATGCACTTTTATGATGGATTGATGCACTTTTATGACGGATAGGTGCACTTTTATGATGGATAGATGCACTTTTATGATGGATTGATGCACTTTTATGATGGATAGATGCACTTTTATGATGGATAGATGCACTTTTATGATGGATAGATGCAAGATGCACTTTTATGATGGATAGATGCACTTTTATGATGGATAGATGCAAGATGCACTTTTATGATGGATAGATGGACAGATTCACTGCCATTATAAAATTTGGCATTTTTTTGGCATTTTTTTATATAACTCTGATTGTGTTCGTCTGAAAGAAGAATGTCATATACACCTAGGATGACTTGAGGGAGAGTAAATCATGGGCTAATTTTCATTTTTGGGTGAACTATCCCTTTAATGGCCTGTGTTCAGGCTCCTCTCTGGGCGTACCTCCTGTGTGCCGTGGGCCTGTTCGTCTATCAGTCGCTGGACGCCATCGATGGGAAACAGGCCAGACGCACTAACAGCAGTTCACCACTGGGGGAGCTGTTCGACCACGGCTGCGATTCGCTCTCCACAGGTGACCAGTGCACCCTTTAAAGGTGCAGTGTGTGATTTTTAGCGGCATCTAGTGGTGAGACTTGCGAATTGCAAACAGCTAGTCACTCGCGGCCTATCCCTCGGTTTTCAAACTCGAATGAGAAGCTACGGTGGCCGACGTAAGACAAAATATGTCGTCGTCTGAGTCAGCAGCAGAGAGTAGTAAGTCAAGCAATGAGGTTTCTTTAGCGCTGTTTGTTCGCTTTCGGCTACGGTAGAAACATGACGTCACAACATGTCGACCTTCATAGAAGGGGATTCCCGCGCCTATGTAGATATAAATGTCACATTCTAAGGTAATAAAAACATAACGGTTCATTAAGTAAGGTCTTTATACACCACTGAAAACATAGTTATGGATTTTATATAGCATTTCTGTCAATAGATCCTCAGAAATATTACACAATGCACCTTTAAGGGCCGTTTGCACAGGGTCTGTTGTTGCGCAGTATATTTTAATCGTTAGCCTGTGCAGACATGAATCACACAGATGACTAGCTGTTTTAGAAAAATTTTAATTACTGGATGTTTTTTAATCAGTCTCAATTATCTGCCGTGAATATCTTGTCTTTTAAATATTGTGGTATATTACATAATTTTTTTATTTACTATATTTATTTAATAATAATTTGAATGTAATATACTTATATTTGTTTATATTTGCAAAATTTGCAATTTCTCAATTAAATATATAATAATAATAAAGGACAATATAAATTATATATATATATAGTTCATGTACATTTTAGATTACAAATAATTAAAATATGTATAATAATATGAATTATATTGATAATAATAATATAATTTAATATACACTACCGTTCAAAAGTTTGGGGTCAGTGAGAATTTTATTTTTATTTTTTGGAGGAAAGAAATCAATACTTTTATTTATCAAGGAATAATTAATTTGATCGAAAGTGACAGTAAAGACATTTATAATGTTACAAAAGTCTTTTGAACTTCCTATTCATCAAAGAATCCAAAAAAAAAACAAAAAAAACTGTACAACTGACAGACCAACAACTGTTTCAACATTGATAATAATAATAAATGTTTCTTGAGCATCAAATCCTCATATTATACTGATTTGTTAAGGATCATTTGACACTGAAGACCCTGACACTGGTGATGCTGAAAATTCAGTTTTGATCACAGGAATAAATTACACTTTACTATATATTCACACAGAAAACAGCTGATTTACACTGGAATAATATTTAATACTATAACTGATTTTTGTTGTATTTTTAATCAAATAAGCGCAGCCATGGTTAGCAGAAGAGAATTCTTTTAAAAGTATTTAAAATCGTACCGACCCCAAACTTTTGAACGGTAGTGTATATTTTTATTTAATATAATTATTTAATAATACTTTAAAGTAATGGTATACTTTAAAGTTTATACTATACTATATGTATATATAATAAATTATACAAATATTTAAAATAATGCACATTAATTTGATAATAATGTATAGTATTAATACATATAAATACATATTTTTTTTGTATTTAATATATTTATTTAATAAATACTTAAATATTTAATATTATAAATATTTAATAAATAATTTGCATTATTAGTCATTTTTAATTAAATTTAATTTTATTTAAAAAATGTAAATTTGTATTTATATATATATTAATTATTCAAAAAACTTAAATATTTAAAAGTAAATATTTAACGTGTCCTGTGTGAATAATTCCCTTGACTTCTGTGGTGAAGTGTGTATTAACGCTGTGTTTCTCCCAGTGTTTGTGGTGTTGGGAACCAGTATAGCGGTTCAGCTGGGCTCTCACCCCGACTGGATGTTCTTCTGCTGTTTCGCCGGCATGTTCATGTTTTATTGTGCCCACTGGCAGACCTACGTCTCCGGTACACTGCGCTTCGGCATGTGAGTAGAACATCCATACATGCAAAATTACATTTTATGTAGGGCTGCACAATATATCGAAATATCGGAGATTTATATATCAGGATATGCATATCGCAACGGCTTGCAATAACTGGGGTCATGAACAAAAGACAGAGAAAGTCACTCACTGCTCTCGGCTGAATAACTTTTGTAGCTTTAATAAGAACCAGTGTATATTTAATTCATACAGTGAAAACTAAGCAGTGTTTTATTTTTTACATTTGATTATTGAGTTTCTGTTGTTAAATAACCCTAATGCCCTAAACCCAGTGGTTTACACTGATGTTAAATAACACTCCTTATGTTTCAGTAAAACACTGATGTTCACTGTCAGAAGCTGTAGGGATGCTTTCTAGTCACAAAAAGAGTGTGAAACACGTATGTAGGTTATATCATTTTAAGTTTATTTTACACAATTTAAGCATTATCATATCGCATATTGAATATCGCATTTTCTTTCAATATCGTGCAGCCCTAATTTTATGGTTTATTTTCGTGTTAAGGTGCGGTTGCATTTACTGCCGTTTGGCGAATTTTCGGAGGGGAAATACAGTAATTTTAATAAGAATCCATGCTATTGTTATTTTTGCATGAAAGTGAAAGATTCCCTGCACAGATTTTGCAACGGTTTCATAAAAGACAAAGAAATTAACCTTTTTTAGCACATGAAATTTTGCTAATGTGGCCGCACCTTTCATTAAGGCAAGACACTACAGACAAATATAAATATATACACACACACACACACACATATATATATATATATATATATATACACAGTAGTCAACATTTCAAGTGGATCACAAAAGTTCATCAAAGTTGTCCTAAGACAAGAACGGGTATTGTTCAAAATTCATGTATAACTTTAATGAAAAGTTTTGATCCACTTCAAATGTTGACTACTGTATGTATATATATATATATATATTCATGCACTGGTCAATTTTGGCCTATTTTGCTTTTCATAATGCGTTTTCTTTTTCCAGACTAATGGAATGAAAACATGCAAAACACACTTTTAAGTGTTTATATTATTGGACTTTATCTATATGTATCTGTATCTTTAACGGCCTTTTTCTCAAAATGAGTTTTGTTCTCCACTTCAGAAGCACTTATACACACCAAAACTTACAGTTTTATTCCTATCTATATTCTGATGAATTTTACTGAGGGGTTTGTTCATATATATTTGGCTTGAAATTTTACAACATTTTTAATAACTCTTGTGAAAATGGTGAAAATGTATTTTTTCTGGCTTTTGACAGTATTTTCTGAGCGATGAAAAGAGAAATTCAAAATCCCTTCTGTAAAAAACCTTTTACAAGAAACCAAACAAGAACTATGAGCCTGGCTTTATCCAATGTTCAAATTTATATTATCCAAATGTATGCATATTTAATTAGATAATGCCTTGTATGCATATTTAAACAAAACATTTCAGAAAACTTGTAATACAAAAAACGTCTGTGATCCTTAATGTAATCAATCAGCTGGGGAAGTATATATTATTAATTTGTTTACTCTGTTATAGACCTGGGGTGTCTTGCCTTAAAGGGATACTCCACTTTTTTTGGAAATAGGCTCATTTTACAACTCCCCCAGAGTTAAACTGTTGAGTTTTACCGTTTTTGAATCCATTCAGCCGATGTCCGGTTCTGGCGGTACCACTTTTAGCATAGCTTAGCATACATCATTGAAGTGGACAAGACCATTAGCAGTTCTCAAACAAAAATCACCAAAGGGTTTCGATATTTTTCCTATTTAAAACTTGACTCTTCTGTAGTTACATCGTGCACTAAGACCGACGGAAAATGTAAAGTTGTGATTTTCTAGGCTGATATGGCTAGGAACTATACTCTCATTCCTGCGTAATAATCAAGAAACTTCACTGCCGTACCATGAGTGCAGCAGGCGTAATGATATGACGCAGCGCCTGAAAATAGTTCCGTTGTGTTGACGGAAGGTGGCCTATTTTCAGGCGCTGCGTCATATCATTACGCCTGCTGCACTCATGGTACGGCATTGAAGTTTCTTGATTATTACGCACGAATGAGAGTATAGTTCCTAGCCATATCAGCCTAGAAAATCACAACTTTACATTTTCCGTCGGTCTTAGTGCACGATGTAACTACAGAAGAGTCAAGTTTTAAATAGGAAAAATATCGAAACTCTTTGGTCATTTTTTTTTTTAGAAATGCTAATGGTCTTGTCAACTCCAATGATGTATGCTAAGCTATGCTAAAAGTGGTACCGCCAGAACCGGACATCGGCTGAATGGATTCAAAAACGGTAAAACTCAACAGTTTAACTCTGGGGGAGTTGTAAAATGAGCCTATTTCCAAAAAAAGTGGAGTATCCCTTTAAGCAGAGAAGGTTTTGTATGTTTGATGTCAGTAATAGACGATGTTTGAAGCCTGATTTGTCACTGTCCCATGGGCAGATTTGATGTTACAGAACTGCAGATCTGTCTAGTGTTGTTGCAGATGTTTACGGCTACGGTTGGGCCCACGTTTTGGAACGAAACGGTAAAATCCAGCGCCGAACGGCCAATCAAACGCGAGCAATGCACCAATCAGCTTCCTGAAACACTAATGAACCTCATGCTTTCAGACCAGTGATTCCAGTTCAGATCCAATCAGTTCAGAGCATATATCTGTGATAACTGAAGCCAATCCTGCTGTGATCAGCGTGTGTGTGTGTGTGTGTGTGTGTGTGTGTGTGTGCTCTAACATGGCTCTCTTCTCCGCTCAGCATTGATGTTACAGAAGTGCAGATCTTCATAATTCTCATGTATTTACTGGCTGCTGTTGGCGGATCGGCTTTCTGGCAGTCTCGGGTAATTCACTCACACGCCGAATCTGTTTATGCTTATAACTTAATAACATAATATAACATAATAACTTGAGCTGTGTGTGCTAACCAGAAATAACAACTATTGATTCATTTGATCAGTCTCGTATACCAGTTAGCTGGCATAAATACCTTTACATTATTGTCATATCTTTGTCTTTTAAATAATGTGGTATATTCATAATAATAATATATTTGCATTATACTGTATAATGTATTAAAATAGTAAATAGATATAGTTGCATTTATTGAATATAATACTTTGTGTATTACAGTATACAGTGTGTAATTTAAATAGTTAATAATAAAATGTAAATTATAATGTATTTACAAATTCTATATATTTTATATTATAAAATAATAAATTACATAATGCGAATGTATTATAATTTAAGTACAAAAATATATATATTTATTATTAATTATAAATCCTTAATATAAAAAATATAAAATAAAATACAAAAACTCTCTATATATTTAATATTATAATTTAGTATACTAATAAATTAGAATATGTAAATAATAATGTATGTACATAAATTCTATATATTTAATTACATAATGCAAATTTATAATTTAAGTACATAAACTATAATTTACATTATATAATGTATTATCAATATATTAATTAAAAACATTAAAAATAATGTATGTGCATGTACTATGTATTTAATATTATAATGTTGTATATTAATAAATAATGTAAATTCAAATATATGTACATACATTATATATTTAATATTATAATATTAAATAATATATTAATAATAAATAACAATGTAAATGTCTATACATAAATTCTATATAAAAGGTGTAAATTCTATTATAAAAGAATATATTAATAATTACATAATGTAAATTATACATTAAAAACTATATAAATAAATCTTTGAAATAAGATATTATATAATAATAATGTATATTATTATATGATATATTTAAGCTTTTTGAACTGAACTGTTTCTCATTCTCTTGCATTCAACAGATTCCTGTCATAAACATCCAAATGAAAATGATCCCGCCACTTTGCACGTTTATCGGGGCGGTTTTCACGTGTACCAATTACTTCCGAGTCATATTTACCGGCGGCGTGGGGAAAAACGGCTCCACCATAGCGGTACGTACCTGAGCTATATATTAGTGTAACGATTCGGTACATATCACGATACTGAACTCACAATACCATATCATTGCGATACTCCAAGACATATGGTAAAAGATTAACAGAAAATGTACTGTTGATTAAAATGCTAAATTTGATATTACATTGTGGGTTTAAATGAATAGGCTTGGACTTGGTGCTGGAAACCCAATGAACAGGACAATTAAATATTAATGAAGCTGAAAACAGAATTATTTTAGACAAATATGCTTGATCTCTGTCACTGACTAGATATATATAAAATAATGTAGGCCACTTTTTACTGGTAACATCAGACATTTGGCATTATCAGGACGCACAAATATTCCCCCATTAATATTATACATCATATTCAACATTAAATATAGTAGTCTATCCACAATATATATTTTTGCATTTTTGTATTGCAATATATTGTGACACCCCTACTATATACACAATATTTCTGACCTGCATTATTATATGTATTGTATTGTCACTTCATCGGTGTGTGTGTGTGTGTGTGTGTGTGTTTCAGGGTACGAGTGTTTTGTCTCCCGTCCTGCACATCGGCTCAGTTATCATCCTCGCTATGATGATTTATAAAAAATCATCCGTCCTGCTCTTCGAGAAACATCCGTGTCTGTATATTCTGGCCTTCGGCTTCGTATCGGCCAAAATCACCAATAAATTAGTGGTGAGTGAAAGACCTCCACTCAGTGTTATTGTAGTATTTATATTAGGGCTGTCAAATGATTAATCGCGATTAATCGCATCCAAAATAAAAGTTTGTATATGTGGGTGCACTGTGTATAATTAGTTTGTATATATATAAATACACACACATGCATGTATATTTAAGAAAAAAATATTATTTATATATAAAATATTTGTATTTATATATAATCAAAATTATATATAAATCTATATACAGTATATACATAAAAATATTTCTTAAATATATACAAGCATGTGTGTGTATTTATATATGTAAAATATTTATACACAGTGCACCCACATATATTATGTAAACACAAACTTTTATTTTGGATGCGATTAATCGTGATTAATCATTTGACAGCCCTAATTTATATATATATATATATATAATATTTAAAATAATGCACATTAATCTAAAAATATGATATAGTATTAATGCATATTAAATATATATTTGTATTTAAAATATTTATTTAATAAATACTTTGTAATGTAATGTTATATTTGTATACAGTAATTAATCATTTTTAATGTACTTCATTTATTAATAAAAATTCATAATGTAAATGATATATATTATGTATGTACATTTTAGATGTACATTTGTATTTATAATCAATTATTCAATTATTCAAAAAAATTAAATATGTATGTGGCTAATATGTATGTGTGTATATTGTTTTTCATGCACTGGTCAATTTTGAGATTTGGGGCTATTTGGCTTTTCATAAAGTGTGTTTTTTTCTCCAGACTAGTGGAATGAAAACATGCAAAACACACTTTTAAGTGTTTATTTAATTGGACTTTATCTATTTGCATCTGTATCTTTAACGGCCTTTTTCTCAAAATGAGTTTTGTTCTCCACTTCAGAAGCACTTATACACACCAAAACTTACAGTTTTATTCCTATCTATATTCTGATTAATTTTACTGAGGGGTTTGTTCATATATATTTGGCTTGAAATTTTACAACATTTTTAATAACACTTGTGAAAATGGTGAAAATTAAATTTCGCTTTTGACAGTTTTTTCTGCTTTATGGAGCGATGAAAAGAGAAATCCAAAATCCCTTCTGTAAAAACCTTTGACTCTAATATGTCAACTAAATCAAACCAGAATTTTGAGCCTGGCTTTATCCAATGTTCATATTTATTTATTTTAAAAGTATATAAATCAATTTAGAAAAAATATTGAGGCCCTGGCTTAAAAAGTATTAAATGCCATTTTCCAAGGTATTACATTTTGTATCATCTTTTCATTATGTATATTTATCCAAAGAATTGTATTAATTTGTCAATTAATTCTCTTGTGCTTCCCACCCTTCTGAATTATGTTGCATTGATAAGGAATTTTCACAAACTAAGAGTTTAGTTGTGCTAACTTACAATCAATATATAGTAAATGTAAGTTAAAGTGTCGCCGATGTAACCGGTTTAAACTTGAAGTGGCGATGAGGTCTTAAAATGTACCGAAAGAGTCTTAAAAAAGGTCTTAAAAGGTATTCAATTTAACTCCATGATTCCTGTATATACCCTGGTTCTGCAAATGTATGCAAACCAATACATTAGTGGCTTTTCCTCATATATTGAGTGTTATTTCAGTTGTTTTCTGTTGTACTTAACTTTAACTGCAGGTGGCGCACATGACCAAGAGTGAGATGCATCTTCACGACGTGGCGTTTCTGGGCCCCGGCCTGTTGTTTCTCGATCAGTACTTCAACAGCTTCATCGATGAATATCTGGTGTTGTGGATTTCTCTGGTAAGATCACATGGTCTCGAACGTGGCCTGAAGTCACTCGTCACTAACAGTGTGCCGCTGCTAGCCATTTTGGTGCCCTAAGCATAATTCCTTTATGATGTCCCCCCGCCCCCCCTAAAAAAAAAAAACATTTTTATTTAGGATTTTCATTTAGGGGGGCTAAGCCCCCAATGAGGGTATGATTTATAAAAAAATTAAAAAGCTAAAAAGTAACACTTTAGATTAGGGTCTAATGCTTACTATTAACTAGTTTCATTACCATGCAATGGCATGGTTTTATAATCACTGGGATCCCGAATTTGAGGCAGGTTAGTTAGGGGTGTTCGGGGGAAATGTGGGATTTTTCTGAACTACAGATGTGCATTTTAAAGATGTTGTGAAGGCAAAAAAAAAAAAAATTCGATAACAGCTTTAAAACTATGTCAGTGGGCAGCTGATTATTTTTCTCTCCTCATCAGCATCACACTCTTTTTCTCTTTGTTTTTATCTTGCCCTGTCTCTTCCCCTCCTAAAGTTGGCTTTTTTAATTTACTAAAGGTTACAATTTGTATTTTATTCTCAATATGTACACATTCATTATAAATCCTGTGCCTAACATGATGAAAACGGCTTTGTTCATGTTTCTTGTCCCCTCACAATGACAGTAGCCTAAACTATTACACTAGGCTACATGTTACATATAGGCCTATTTTCAGTTCAAAATGGCGAAATTAGACAAAACTATATTAGTTTGCCTAATTATTTTTTGTCATTCGTTTAACATTTATGACCTAAAAAAAAAACTGTCAAATAAAGTTAAGTTTAGCTACTTACATCTTATCTCGCACTTGACCGTACACTGAAGCGTCGAGTTGCACTGTTAAAATTCGCGCTCAGCGTCTGTGAACATAAAGCCCGCCTACTTTGATTTGATTGGTCATCTCAAATATTCTGACATTGACGAGCAGTGACAGACCAATGATGAACACACACATGAACACATCACACACACACACACACACACACACACACCCTGTCCTGTGTTTCTGACGTGCTCTCTGTCTCTGCTCGGCGCCGCTGCGGAATGAAGAGGAAGAACGCGCTGAATCTGATTATAACAAGAAGTTTGATGATTGGTTTTTCATTAGGCTATTTTTGGTGCCCCCTCAGCACTTGGTGCCCTACGCACAGCGCGTGATGCGCGTGGTGGGAGCGGCGGCGCTGAGTGTTGGGGAAGGTTACTCTTAGAAGTAATGCATTCAAATATTGCGTTACTCCCAAAGAAAGTAACTAATTGTGTTAATTAGTTACTTTTTTATGAAAAGTAATGCGTTATATATTACTTTTGCGTTACTTTTTCCTCACCTGGGCTTGCTTGTTTTTTAATAGCAACAAAAAAGTTATATTTTTGGCAAATGTTAAGGCCCTTTCACACCAAAAGTGAAATGCATGAAAAAGGAAGTGCAGTAGAGTACAGTACAGTAGAGGTAGAGTACAGTAGAGTAGAGTACAGTGCAGTAGAGTACAGTACAGTGCAGTAGAGTACAGTACAGTAGAGTACAGTAGAGTAGAGTACAGTAGAGTAGAGTACAGTACAGTAGAGGTAGAGTACAGTACAGTAGAGTACAGTAGAGTAGAGTACAGTAGAGGTAGAGTACAGTAGAGTACAGTGCAGTAGAGTACAGTGCAGTAGAGTACAGTAGAGTAGAGTACAGTAGAGTACAGCAGAGTAGAGTACAGCACAGTACAGCACAGTAGAGTACAGTACAGTAGAGTACAGTAGAGTAGAGTACAGTAGAGTAGAGCAGAGTAGAGCACAGTAGAGTAGAGCACAGTAGAGTAGAGCACAGTAGAGTAGAGTACAGCAGAGTAGAGTACAGCAGAGTAGAGCACAGTAGAGTAGAGCACAGTAGAGTAGAGCACAGTAGAGTAGAGTACAGCAGAGTAGAGTACAGTAGAGTAGAGCACAGTAGAGTAGAGTACAGCAGAGTAGAGTACAGCAGAGTAGAGTACAGCAGAGTAGAGTACAGCAGAGTGCAGTACAGTAGAGTAGAGTACAGTAGAGTACAGCAGAGTAGAGTACAGCAGAGTAGAGTACAGCAGAGTAGAGTACAGCAGAGTAGAGTACAGCAGAGTAGAGTACAGCAGAGTAGAGTACAGCAGAGTAGAGTACAGCAGAGTAGAGTACAGCAGAGTAGAGTACAGCAGAGTAGAGTACAGCAGAGTAGAGTAGAGTACAGTAGAGTAGAGCACAGCAGAGTAGAGCACAGCAGAGTAGAGCACAGCAGAGTAGAGCACAGTAGAGTAGAGCAGAGTAGAGTACAGCAGAGTAGAGTACAGCAGAGTAGAGTACAGCAGAGTAGAGTACAGCAGAGTAGAGTACAGCAGAGTAGAGTACAGCAGAGTAGAGTACAGCAGAGTAGAGTACAGCAGAGTAGAGTACAGCAGAGTAGAGTACAGCAGAGTAGAGTACAGCAGAGTAGAGTACAGCAGAGTAGAGTACAGCAGAGTAGAGTACAGCAGAGTAGAGTACAGCAGAGTAGAGTACAGCAGAGTAGAGTACAGCAGAGTAGAGTACAGCAGAGTAGAGTACAGCAGAGTAGAGTACAGCAGAGTAGAGTACAGCAGAGTAGAGTACAGCAGAGTAGAGTAGAGTAGAGTACAGTACAGTACAGCAGAGTAGAGTAGAGTAGAGTAGAGTAGAGTAGAGTAGAGTAGAGTAGAGTAGAGTAGAGTAGAGTACAGTACAGCAGAGTAGAGTACAGCAGAGTAGAGTACAGCAGAGTAGAGTACAGCAGAGTAGAGTACAGCAGAGTAGAGTACAGTAGAGTACAGCAGAGTAGAGTACAGCAGAGTAGAGTAGAGTACAGTAGAGTAGAGTACAGTAGAGTAGAGTACAGCAGAGTAGAGTACAGCAGAGTAGAGTACAGTAGAGTAGAGTACAGTAGAGTAGAGTACAGTAGAGTAGAGTACAGTAGAGTAGAGTACAGTAGAGTAGAGTACAGCAGAGTAGAGTACAGCAGAGTAGAGTACAGCAGAGTAGAGTACAGTAGAGTAGAGTACAGTAGAGTAGAGTACAGTAGAGTAGAGTACAGTAGAGTAGAGTACAGTAGAGTAGAGTACAGTAGAGTAGAGTACAGTAGAGTAGAGTACAGTAGAGTAGAGTACAGTAGAGTAGAGTACAGCAGAGTACAGTAGAGTAGAGTACAGTAGAGTAGAGTACAGTAGAGTAGAGTACAGCAGAGTAGGGTACAGTAGAGTAGGGTACAGCAGAGTAGAGTACAGTAGAGTAGAGTAGAGTACAGTAGAGTAGAGTAGAGTAGAGTACAGCAGAGTAGAGTACAGTAGAGTAGAGTAGAGTACAGTAGAGTAGAGTACAGCAGAGTAGAGTACAGTAGAGTAGGGTACAGCAGAGTAGAGTACAGTAGAGTAGAGTAGAGTACAGTAGAGTAGAGTAGAGTACAGTAGAGTACAGCAGAGTAGAGTACAGTAGAGTAGAGTACAGCAGAGTAGAGTACAGTAGAGTAGAGTACAGTAGAGTAGAGTACAGCAGAGTAGAGTACAGTAGAGTAGGGTACAGCAGAGTAGAGTACAGTAGAGTAGAGTAGAGTAGAGTACAGTAGAGTACAGCAGAGTAGAGTACAGTAGAGTAGAGTACAGCAGAGTAGAGTACAGTAGAGTAGAGTACAGTAGAGTAGAGTACAGCAGAGTAGAGTACAGTAGAGTAGGGTACAGCAGAGTAGAGTACAGTAGAGTAGAGTACAGTAGAGTAGAGTACAGCAGAGTAGAGTACAGTAGAGTAGAGTACAGTAGAGTAGAGTACAGTAGAGTAGAGTACAGTAGAGTAGAGTACAGCAGAGTAGAGTACAGTAGAGTAGAGTACAGTAGAGTAGAGGGCGCTGCTCAAACAAACCTTTCAGCTGCTGCTGTTCTGGATTAAAGAGCAATAGGATACAGGAGAAGGAAGTTCAACACTCTTATTTATTCTAAAACTAATCTAAAGTAATTTTTGCTTAGTATGTTTGAATAAGATCATTGAAGGTCAGCAGCAAAGACATTGGTTATTAAAGTGAGATTAAATACATAAACTATATTTAATATATTCAAATTGTAATTTAATATAGTTATAAAAGTTTTGCGTAAAATTCTAAGATTGCATTTTGAGGAATACTGAATGTTTTGGTGCAAGTGAGATGAGTAAATGCATCTTCACATTTAGTCTAGAACTAAAATAACCATCATGTTTATACACACACACACACACACACACAACACCTTACTTTATTTCTCTCAACATGAGAGCTGTTAATCAGTAAATGTGAAAAAGTAACTAGCGTTACTTATTTGAAAAAGTAACTTAGATATTGTGATGCAAATTGAAAAATGAATGTTACATTACTAGTTACTTGAAAAAGTAATCTGATTACATGTACTGAGTTACCCCCAACACTGGTTATTTGAAAAAGTAACTTAGATATTTTGTTGTAAATTGAAAAAGTAATGCGTTACATTACTAGTTACTTGCTAAAGTAATCTGATTACAACTCAAGTTACTTGTACTGAGTTCCCCCCAACACTGCTCGTCACGTCTGGTAATCTCTCTTTACTGTGTGTGTCCATCAGATTCTCTCTCTCTTCGATCTGGTGCGCTACTGCGTGAGCGTCTGCAACGAGATCGCGTCTCACCTGCGCATCTGCGTCTTCAAACTCAAGCCGAGTGACCTCTGACCTCCCTCATGCACTTTCATCCTGCTACTGTTTCTCGTCTGAGACGTATTTAAAACATCCTGCACTTAGAATAATGCAGTGCTTCATCGCCAGTGAACGAACGAACAAATAAATGAATGAACGAACTTCACCAAGTCACTTTTCTTTAGATTATTATTTTAAGAAGATGTTGAAACGTTCGGATTACCCATGATGCATCGATGCCGTCTGGGTCTGTATTAACGTTTTAACGCTGTGTATAAATTGGATTAGATCAATAATGATTTCATCGCTGCTAATAATAATAATAATAATAATAATAATAATGAGGATTCGCTCTCGTTGTTTATGACTGTATTTTGTGTTTTTGCACCCCTACGCTCCAGTAACCGTTGACCGCTGCAGGAAGACGTCGCTCCGTTTAGGTGTTTCTCTGAAAGATGTTTTGTTCAGATTTTGATTTTTTGATTTGAGATTTCACAAATATTGTGTCTCACGCTGTGCCTGCTGGGGGAATCGCACAACCAAAGTTTCCTTCTCAGTGTTTCACCCTAACATTACAAGAAAGACGTAAGAAATTAAGAGCATTGAAAAAGTTGTGAGTGACATTTTGCTTATATAAATGAATTCCCATTACTGTAATACAGTAATACAAGCATCATGTATAGAAAAAACACTTTTTTTATATATATATATCACAGTCAGTATGAATTAAATCGAGTACAATACATACTGCTATTATTAAAAATGTACAATTTAAATAAAATTTACCATTTTTTGCTGTACAATTTTTTTCACAGTACAAGTGTAAATAATGTCACAGTGTAAAAAAAATTGCGTAAATACGCTTTTTTTCTTCAATCCAAAATCGAATTTCTTATTCATTTCTTTTGATTTAGGGGCTAAAAATCTGCCCTGGACAGAAACCGTGAGATTCACCCTGTTTTGCTTCATTCTGCATTATGAATCGATTTGCGCTCAAGACATTTGAATGCACTTGCGTCGTCGGCCTCCTGAATAATGAGCTTGGTTTTGACCCTTGGCGTTAAATTATTTAATCTGAGATTGAATGTTGAAGATGTTAATATTCAAGACGCTCGTTTGTATGATAATTCATCACTAACGTTCATTGCTGAAGATGTTTAAACCCAAAGTATGTTACAGTCGTGTCAGATTATGAATCGATCTGTTAATCACTGCTGATTAGTGTTGGTTTTTACTTTTGAATGTTTCACATAACAGTTGCCTTAAATATTATGACTTGGAAAAGTGTTGAACTTTGCATGTTGATCTGGTTGTTTTCCTCAACTCTTTATTTCTAAATGTCCCTCTCAGGCGAATAATATGAATAAAAATAAATGATAAATCGTAGTTTGTAGAAACAGCTCGATGCTGCCACCCCGAAAACAAAAGTTGAAATGACTTTTGCGAGATGTCCTGAGTTTGTGCAATTGGTGTTATTACTGTTCAAATGAATGATCTTTTATTTGCAGATGATTAAACTCTAATAGTTGAGGAATTGATTTAGTTTGACTGCTTTCGTCACGAGCGCCTGCTGCTGATATCTTTGAGTTTCTCGATCTTCACATCCAGTATGAGATTAAATACGTTTGCGTTTCTGTATTCATCTCTTGCAGTGTGAAACGCTCTTCACACTTATTCATAAGCTTTGATTCTGTCGCTTGTTGCCAAATCCTTTCACTTTAAACGGGACAACGGATTTAAGCACTCATTAAATCTTGCAGATGGAAACGTCCAATGTTATTTTTGTTTGTTTGTTTCTCTGAAGACATACTCAGTGTTATTAGTTATGTAAATCGCCTGTTTCTGACTAACTGTTGATTTGATTGTAACATTGCTCTGATTTTTGAATAAACGCTCCTGTAAAATAAAGATTGCTATATTTATGATACCTGGTGTTTTTTGTTTGTTTGTTTTGTTTTTAAGTACTTCAGCAAAAGTTCACTTACCCAAAGCCTAATTAAGATGTAATAGTATAGCTATAAAGTATAGCTATATAGCTAAAAACGCAGCTGGAATGGAACAGACTCTTTGGAGAAGAAAATGTATATGAACGGTTTATATTGAGCATGAAAATTGAGCATGAAAATTGTAAGAAAGTACGTATAAATCCAGATTATTATGACTTTAGTTACTACTTTTTATGTCATGTCATAATTATGATTAAAACATAATTTCAGCCCATTTGTGGCTGAAATGGGCTTCCATAAATAATACCACCACAGTACTTTTACAATATATGCCGATAAATTAATGAAAATAAGGAGTTATTTTTAAAATAATCTTAAATTCTACGTAATATTTAGCCAAAATCGCAGTATTATCGTGTTGAGGGGGATTTTCCCCGCGCTGGCGACCCGCCGAAATGTTCCACATCCGGGTTCTCCGCGAGTCTCGTGAGTTTGATCGGAAATGCGCGGAACGACTCACGGAAGGAAAACAGGAACACAATAAACAGTGAATTCTGAGCATTAAACGAATAAAGAGGACATAGAAACATTAAACAATGAAATATAACCACTAACAAGATATAAAGTCTTTCATAGGGGATTTAAAATGCCTTTGTTCAGACTGAGGGATGATCATCTAGCTGTTTGATTGACAGGTAAAGCTGTTCCTCACTAACGGTTCATCATGATATCAAATCATAATTATGACATTTAAATCTGATTTTGTTTTAAACTTCAGACCGATTTGAATGAGACATTAGCAGTAATACAGTAGCCAGAACACGTCACTTTATTTATCTGTAATAGAAAGTGAAACCAAAGAAATCTGTAGCGAAACAATTGCTTTAAATTTGAATGTATTAAACCTTTTGGTAAATTTAAGCACCCTTAACATGAAATAACCTAACAATGCAAATACCATGGTACTGATTGATTACCATATTCATATTCCATGCGGGTTGCCATTATCAAATGTCAGCTATATATATATACACACACACAAACACACACACACACACACACACACACACACACACACACACAGTGGTCAACATTTGAAGTGGATCAAAACCTTCATCAAAGTTAGCCTATCCATTAATTTTGAAAAATACTCGTTCTAGTCTTAGTACAACTTTTTTTTTTTTTATCCACTTCGAATGTTGAATATATTATAAACATATTATCATGCTGTATGTCTAAACATCCACTAGTGTTTTTTTTTTAACCATTTCTTTAATTTGAACTTTTCCCTCAAGTTTTAGTCTGTGGATTGTTTTATTGAACATGTACATTGTAACAGTTTGGGCGTCACAGCAGAAGTGAAAAGCAGAAACTCACCCAGAATACCCATGATGCTCTCTGCGGGAGCGAGAAGAGGAACCGTCCGGTTCTAATATACGAGGTGTGTGTTTCAGGAACATGTGGTGGTTTCAGGAGGGCTTGTGTGTTCTGCCCGTGGCGCTGGTCATCTGGACCTCCGCCACCTTCATCTTCGCTTACATCACGGCCGTCGTCCTGAGACACGTGGACCCGCTGGTGCCCTACATCAGGTGAGCATGGGCGGGGCATCCAATTCGCAAGCTCTCGATTCGATTTTGATTCTAAATTCGGTTTTCGATTTCGATTCGCAAGCTCTCGATTCGATTTTGATTCTAAATTCGGTTTTCGATTTCGATTCGCAAGCTCTCGATTCGATTTCGATTCTAAATTCGGTTTTCGATTTCGATTCGCAAGCTCTCGATTCGATTTCGATTCTAAATTCGGTTTTCGATTTAGATTCGCAAGCTCTCGATTCGATTTCGATTCTAAATTCGATTTCGATTTGCAAACTCTCAATTTGATTAAATTTCGATTTTCGATTCGATTCTCGATTCAACTCAATGAAAATAGATCCTATATTTATAAAAAAAAGAACAGTGAACATAAGTTTACAAGTGGTTATTTAATAAAAAGAAATTAAGGGCCACAAACCTGTATATTAAACTCTGTTTATTTTAGGTCCATTAAAACAGAACCCAACTCTATATTTCAAATGCATACAATGACTAGACAGGATTTTGATGCGATATGGAAAATTGATGCTGTAAATTGGACGAGTCAGAACAGTGGCACGCCTTGATCAAACAGGATCAGGCTACTTTATGTTTAAGATAAAACACACATAAAATCTGACCTGTGACCTTTGACCTCTGAGTGTGTTTGGTGTTGTGCTTGCAGTGACACCGGGACGATGGCGCCGGAGAGATGCGTGTTTGGACTCATGCTCAATGTGTCGGCGTTCTTAGGTACTGAGACCCGTATGAGCTCACGCTGACGTGTGTGTGTGTGTGTGTGCTTCAGGGATGTAATGCTGCGTGTTCTCCTGCAGGTGTCGCTACGATGTACGTGCGCTATAAGCAGCTCCAGGCCCTGGTGGACGGTGCCGACACTCGTCTGAACCGCCTCAATCGGGCCGGGCTCGTTCTGGGCTGCGGAAGCTCGTTCGGCATGTGCGTCGTAGCAAACTTCCAGGTACGTACAGTGTGTGTGCTTTGATGTTCAGACCAACACAAATAAAAATTCGCTCTGATTTAGCGACATAGTCCAAGTGCATGAATCTTATTGGCTGGCCAGTTTTATTGCAAATAAGTCTGAATAGACGCATTAACAGCCGCATTAAAATATTCGCAACAAATATTCTCCAGTTCACACCAACACAAAAATGTTTAGCATCGAAATTCTGTCAGATTTTTCGCATTTAATTTGTGTGTTCATACAAATTCAAACAAAAAACAATATTTATATGTTTTCAAACAGCCATTCTGATTTTTTTTTAATCTGCTACGGTGTTTATCAAACAACACAGAAAGAGCCGCTTCCGGAAAAAAATAGCGCAAATTTAATTGGTTGGCCAACTTTTTTACGCAGTCAATCTGTCGCATTGACGACACCAAACGCAATGTTCAATTACAGAAATAAAAGTTCGGCATGAAAATTTGGTCTGGATCTTCATTCGGTTCCTCTGTTTACCGCCATTCATTTACACTAAAATGTTTATCGCTCATAATTTTCGCACCAAATATTCGCCAATTCGCACCAACGCGAAAATATTTCCCATTAAAATTCGGTCTGATTTTACGCATTCGATTCGTATGTTCAGACCAATAAAAAATGCAAAAAACAATGTTTATCAAACAATACAGAAAGAGCCGTTTCCGAAAAAAAATTGTGCAAATTTGATTGGTTGGCCAATTTTCTTCGCAGTCAATCTGTCGCATTGATGACATGCAAATGTTTGTGTCTGAACAGACGCATTAACTGCCGTTCGTTTATATTAAAATAATAAAATGTCTGATTTTTCATGTCCGATTCGTGTTCAGAGTTGCTTCCAGAAAAAAAATTGCGCAAATTTGATTGGTTGGCCAATTTAAATAAAATAAATAAATAAAATGTTAAAATACAAAAAATTCATTTTCAGCATGAATATTCGCTCTGATTTTTGAAGGTAATTCTTCTGTTCTGATGTTACGCTTCTGTAGTTCTTCTCTTCTATTCGCTGTCGCGTAGCAGAATAGTCCAAATGCACGAATCTTATTGGTTGGCCAGTTTTCTTCGCAGTGTGATGGAAAGGAAATGAAAAATGTTCGTGTTCGGTCTGAACAGCCATGTGCAGATTCCCGCACCTAACCGTGTGCCGTGTCGTTCCCAGAAAACCACTCTGTTCTCGATGCATCTGGTGGGCGCCGTGCTGACGTTCGGCGTGGGCGCGCTGTACGTGTTCGTCCAGACGCTGCTGTCGTTCCTCATGCAGCCGCACGTCCACAGCAGAGCCGTGTTCTGGACGCGCCTGAGCATCGCCGGCTGGACGCTAGCCAGCATCATTAGCAGTATCCTTCACCCGCTGCATGCTGGGAAGCGTAGCGTTTATGTTGAATGTGGTTGGTTCCTTGATTCTCTCAGTGTTCGTGTCGTCCGTGATCATGTACAGCTCTTTACCGGGAGTCGAGGTCAACAAGAAGCTCCACTGGACGCCCGGAGAACCCGTGAGTCCAACTCTCCACCGCAGTGCTAGCGTTAGCGTTATTCGAACAAGTCTTCGATTCCGGTTCTCGAGTGTTTTTGTCGTTTTCAGGGGTTCACGCCGCACATCGTCAGCACCATCTCTGAGTGGTCTCTCGCGCTGTCCTTCGTCAGCTTCTTCCTCACCTACATACGAGACTTCAAGGTAAGGCACCTCACATCTGACGATACACACCTTCTGAACGCGTCTCACGTGTGTGTGTGTGTGTCTCCGCAGAAGATCAATCTACGAGCCGAGGCGCAACTTCAGAGCAACCATCTTTACGACTCGCATCATCACCGCCCCGCTTCATCCCGCGGGCGGACGGAGACGTCGCCGCTCCTCGCCGGCAGCATCTGATCGCTCCGGGCTCGAGACCACACACACCTCGAGCGTCACACACACCTCGAGACCACACACACCTCGAGCGTCACACACACCTCGAGACCACACACACCTCGAGCGTCACACACACCTCGAGACCACACACACCTCGAGCGTCACACACACCTCACACTTCACACTAACATCTGTACAACCGTCTGAAATGAATGCTCTGCATATTCTGTGATTTAATGCAGATGTTTTACACTCCTTTCTGCTGGAAACATGTTTTATAGTCTATTCTGTACTTTTATATCACTCTAAAAAGGCCTAATAGCCTCATTAAAACTAAATTAGGTGCAAAAACATTACTGGGTCATATTTCACACTCCATAAATGTTAATTTCATGTAATATTTTTTATTAATATAAATAATTGTGCTGTACAATGATTAATTAAGTTTGTGTTTACATAACATATGTGTGTGTACTGTGTATAATTATTTTGTATATATATAAATACACACATATGCATGTATATATTTAAGAAAAATGTGTTATTTACATATAAAATATTTATATATATATAATATAAATTATGTATAAATATATGCAAATATGTGTATTTATATATACAAAATAATTATACACACACTTATATTATGTAAACACAAACATATTTTGGATGCGATTAATCGTTGCACAGCACTAATAAATAATAACTAATGAGAATCATCATTGATCATATTAAAAAAGACTAAAGTAATACACCCAGACATGCGAATTAAAGGGTTTAAATGTGTTTAATGTCATAAAAATAATGTCACAATGTAAAAACAAGCTTCAATTTGTATAATAGTATAATATAATTTCCTACTTTTGTTCTTTTAATGAGGTACAATATGAGACTCGCTCACACTGAACAGCATCTGTACTTTATATTTTATTACATTAAAACAAAATACAAATAAACAGCGTTAAATATTCACCAGCGATTCTCTGATTGTTGATTAAAAGTGTTGTGGGAAGCGCTTACACCACGACGCCGCGCACCCAGCGGTCCTTCATCCTCTCCCTCTTCTTCCTCTCGCGGTGCTCCGACACCTTCCGCTGGAAGAACCCTACAGAGAGAACACACACACACACACACAGTGAAGCTTCTGCCGTCTTCAAAGGTTAAACACTTCTTCTTTTGGCATAACAATAGAATAACCTTTCCAGAAGTAAACAGAGCCGTATTTATCCCTCCGAAGCACTAGAAAAAGTCCATTTGAACCAATCAGGGTGTGATGTTACATCCAGAGATCCAAGGGTCAATTACTTCTGACCCTTTCCCATAATGCTTTATTAGGGATGCACGGGATATCGGCCACCGTATCGGTATCGGCCCAGATATGATCATTTTAACGTTATCGTTATCGGCCCGATACGAACATTTGCCCGATATATTAAAGCCGATAAATAATGTATTATTTCCCTCAGCTGAGACTCTTCAGATGCGCACTGTTCAACATGATGCTTTTCAATTCCTTAAAATATGATTAAAATCACTGAAATACAGTTCAGCGCAGCGCAAGTCTGTCATATCGGCTACATAACATCATAATGACAAGAGAACATGTGTTTGGGGCGTGAATTTTAACGATGAGACTTTTGTTTTGTAATCAGGCTTTCAAAAATGATATAAAAATTTTGATTTAGATTTATCGTCCAATATATCGGCTATCGGCTTTTTAAATATAAAGAATTATCGGTTATCAGCCTTTAAGTATAAAGAATTATCGGTTATTGGCTTTCCAGTATAAAGAATTATCGGTTATTGGCTTTCCAGTATAAAGAATTATCGGTTATCAGCCTTTAAGTATAAAGAATTATCGGTTATTGGCTTTCCAGTATAAAGAATTATCGGTTATCAGCCTTTAAGTGTAAAGAATTATCGGTTATCAGCCTTTAAGTATAAAGAATTATCGGTTATTTTCTTTCCAGTATAAAGAATTATCGGTTATCAGCCTTTAAGTATAAAGAATTATCGGTTATCAGCCTTTAAGTATAAAGAATTATCGGTTATTGGCTTTCCAGTATAAAGAATTATCGGTTATTGGCTTTCCAGTATAAATAATTATCGGTTATTGGCTTTTCAGTATAAAGAATTATCGGTTATTGGCTTTCCAGTATAAAGAATTATCGGTTATTGGCTTTCCAGTATAAAGAATTATCGGATATTGGCTTTTCAGTATAAAGAATTATCGGTTATTGGCTTTCCAGTATAAAGAATTATCGGATATTGGCTTTCCAGTATAAAGAATTATCGGTTATTGGCTTTCCAGTATAAAGAATTATCGGTTATCAGCCTTTAAGTATAAAGAATTATCGGTTATTGGCTTTCAAATATAAAGAATTATCGGTATCGGCCAAAATTTTCATATCGGTGCATCCCTAATTCTTTATGTATGTCCTGTTTAGGTTTTATTGTGAATTTTATATAGTGTTTTAGTTATATAAACATTAGTGTTTGGTTATAAAAATAAGACCTAAATGTAGCGTTTCACGAATGTTATGATTTGGTTCCCAGAGAAATAGAGCGCAAAAGTCGGGTTCTGGAAGTAAAAACTCGCTCAGTTAAATTGTGTTATTTTTTACGATAACTTGTAAACCTAAACGAGTGACGAGGTTGTTCATTGATGGTATTTGCTGTTGTCGAAGTCGTGTTTAACTAAATTCACGGGGGGAAACTACATTACCCATAATGCCGTGCAAAAATTCCACCAATCAGAGTCGAAACAAGCAAAAGATCTCTTTAGCTCCGCCCACTCCAATGAAACACTGCGAATGACAATCAAGTCACTCTCAAAATACTTAAAATATGTTGTTTTGTATACATAATCACCATTTTTAAATAAGCGGTTTTATATTTCTCCATTGTTTTTAGTTTAATGATTCTGTTTGCAATGCTTCATGGGATTGTAGTTCTTTCCCTCACTGAAGCCCTTTGTCTGATTTCAAATCAAAGTTGTGATTCTCCTCGTTGCTGGTTGGTTTTGTTTACGACTTGTCGCCTTTTTTCGCCTTTATTGCCATTGTCTTGCTTAGTTGAGGACATCTAATTTAATATTCAACAATATTATTGATCTCCTGCTTTGACAGCATTATATGAGAACTGAGCTGAGCTGGACGATGACATCACGGTTTACTCCAGAGCGGCTAAATATATAAATGAACTAAATTAATAACTTTTTTTACAACAACACTGAAGCATCACTGAACTTACTTAAGCTGGACTGTGACACTATTTTCTTCTGGAAACAAACTTTGCTCCATTATTGTCCTGTTATCTCTGTAAAGCTGCTTTGAAACACTCTGTGTTTTATAAAGCGCTGTATAAATGAGCTGACTCGACTCGACTTGAGGATCCTCTTATTTCCAGAGTAACTAGCGTTCTGGAAGCATTAGCTCTTACCGTTCGGGTTGGGCTGCTTTTCCTCCTCCTGTATGAAGAGGTCGAACATCTGCGTCTGGATGAAGAGTTTGATGAAGCTCAGGTGCGCTCGATGATCCACGGCCTTCAGGAAGCTCTTCTTCTGGAACTGGCGGCTCTTGACGTGCTCTGAGAAGTGGCCCACGGTCTTGATGAAGACGGTCAGGAAAGCCTCGGACACCAGCCGGTTCAGCTCGTCTGTGGCTGCCGGAAAACAACACAACAACAGGAAGTGAGCGGGAGTCTAACAGGAAGTGGGCGTGATTACCGTAGGGCTGAACTCACTGGCGTGGCGTGTGCGTGCGGACAGTCTCGTCAGAAGCCCCGCCCTCAGTTTAGCTGGCAGGAGCGACTCCTCGTCGCCAATCTGAAAACACACAGTCGTTACTGTCTCTAGGGCGTTGCTATGCGGTCGCTAGGGTGCTCTGGCTTCTTGAGAGGTTGTTAGTGTACTTCTATCACGGTTGCTATACAGTGGATAATGTGTTCTACAGTTGCTAGTGTCTTTAACACATTGCAATGCAGTCGCTAGGGTGCTCTGGCTTGTTGAGCGGTTGTTAGTGTACTTCTAACATGGTTGCTAGGGTGTTGCTATACAGTGGATAATGTGTTCTACAGTTGCTATGCGGTCACTAGAGTGCTCTGGCTTGTTGAGTGGTTGTTAGTGTACTTCTGTCATGGTTGCTAGGGTTTTGTTATACAGTGGATAATGTGTTCTACAGTTGCTAGAGTGTTTTTCACACGTTGTGACGTTGCTATGTGGTCGCTAGGGAGCTCTGGCTTGTTGGGCGGTTGTTATTGTACTTCTATCATGGTTGCTAGGGTGTTGCTATACAGTGGATAATGTGTTCTACAGTTCCTAAAGTGTCTTTAACACGTTGCTATGTGGTCGCTAGGGTGCTCTGGCTTGTTGAGTGGTTGTTAGTGTACTTCTATCATGGTTGCTAGGGTGTTGCTATACAGTAGATAATGTGTTCTACAGTTGCTAGAGTGTCTTTAAAACGTTGCTATGCAGTTGCTAGGGTGCTCTGGCTTGTTGAGTGGTTGTTAGTGTATTTCTGTCATGGTTGCTAGGATGTTGCTATACAGTGGATAATGTGTTCTACAGTTCCTAAAGTGTCTTTAACACGTTGCTATGTGGTCGCTAGGGTGCTCTGGCTTGTTGAGCGGTTGTTAGTATAATTATATCATGGTTGCTAGGGTGTTGCTATATAGTGGATAATGTATTCTACAGTTGCTATGTGGTCGCTAGGGTGCTCTGGCTTGTTGAGTGGTCATTAGTTTACTTCTATCATGGTTGCTAGGATGTTGCTATACAGTGGATAATGTGTTCTACAGTTCCTAAAGTGTCTTTAACACGTTGCTATGTGGTCGCTAGGGTGCACTGGCTTGTTGAGCGGTTGTTAGTATAATTATATCATGGTTGCTAGGGTGTTGCTATACAGTGGATAATGTGTTCTACAGTTGCTATGCGGTCGCTAGGGTGCTCTGGCTTGTTGAGCGGTCGTTAGTGTACATCTATCATGGTTACTACTAGGGCCTTGCAATACAGTGGATGTGTTCTACAGTTGCTAGAGTGTTTTTAACACATTGCTATGCATTCGCTAGGGTGCTCTGGCTTGTTGAGCAGTTGTTAGTGTACAGCTATCATCTCAAACAAATTGATTTCTAAAGCACTATCAAAACCATAGAAATGGAGCAAAGTTCTGAACATAAAACAACATTAAACTCTAACAGTAAAACAA